GGTGTGGTGGGGAGGGGCGGCGGGCAGCAGCGGCACGGGGTGGGAGTAGCCGGGCAGCGAGCAGAGAATGGGCCCCGGCAGGTCCAGAGTGGGTATATACCTCGATGGAGCTAAGGCTGCGTCACAACAGGGCTTCAACGTCCTTCCCTTACCCCTCCATTATACATGCCGATCTCTCTCCGTCGGCTCTCTCGGTCCTCTCTCGCGAGCCAGCACACCTCCTCGCACCAATTGCCGAACGTCGAGCCCCGTTCCTCGAGGAATTTCTTTTCTCCTGGTTCTTTACTCTTTTTCTTCCCTCCTCGAGCATTCCTAGGCTTTTCTTCATCGCCGTCGACTGCGTGCTGCTCTTCCGTTTTGGCGTTTCCGTTCGAAGAGGATCGAATCATCGTCGATTCATGAGAGAAAATTCCTCGTGGAAGACACGGCTTGCGTTCCGTTTGCCCTTCCTCTTTGTCCCTCCACGGGCCTTCTTTTTCGACGTCCTTTCCCCATCTTCCCTCTCCTTTCTTATTCGCTAAACCTCTGGCCACCCGTCCCCCGAGTTGCTCTCCTTCTTTCCTTTTCTTTCTCTCTCTCTCTCTTTCTCTCTTTCTTTCGTTCGTTCGTTCGTTCTCTCTTGCACTCTTTCCCCGTTCAACGCTGTTCATCCTCATCGGTCGTTTCGGTCTCTCTCCTCTGAACCTCTCTCCACGTCCTGGCTCTCTCTCCCTTTCCGACCCTCGTGGTCGTAACAACGGGGACACGTGTCCGCGAAGCGAGGCCTCTCACATGAATGGGTCATTCATAAGGTGTAATGGCGTTTTATAAATTAAAACGCGTCGTCGTTTGATTTATATTACGCGAACGCTAATGAAGCCCCGTGCATGTCGGGCCCCGGCAGCACATCCTGCCCTCCCTCCCTCTCCCCCGGCTTGTGTACTTCGTGCGAGGGGTGCGGGGAGAGGGAGAGACAGAGAGAGAGAGTATGGCGGCGAGACTCCGGATGGTGGGACGGGGAGGATTGGAAGAAGGGAACAGAGG